GACAGTAAGAAAAATACCTCTTACTGGGTTTTCCCCCCAATTCATTTGCTATTGGTCATGGCTAAGGGGGACTCCTAATTGCTTTCTCCTGGAAAATAATCAGTTTCCCTGACCACAAATTTGGTGGAACATTTATATCCAGCATCCTGCTTCTTTCCCCAATTCCATCGTTACTTTCTTCCCTTTCAATTCTACCTACTTCCTTCATAACTTTACCCAGATAACTTTCTTACAGTTTCCTTTTTGTTCTCCCTCCTAACTTCTATTTTGGAAGGTAAACCAAAGAACACCAAACAATCTCCCCACTCCCTATTTTTGCCTGTTGAAAAATTGTGCAGACTAGTGCTACTGTTGTAAAACAGGTCACACAGATCAAACATTGTTGAATGCTATTCTGCACATGAGCATGTGCAGAAGTTAGGAAGTAAGTTACTCGCATGGGTCAACATATGTCTACCAACTTGTGTTAGATGCTGCCACCTTGGCTTTGCTGACATGCCAAGAATATCCATTGGGATGCAATCAGTGGTGGGATTCAAATATTGTTGCCACCGGTTTGGTGGGCGTGGCTTGGTGGGTACGCTTTGCATGTGCCAAACGCACACTTTGAGCAGGCACAGAGGTGTTCTAACTCGTCTCCTGCAAGCCTGCATGATCCTGGTTGCTTCAACAGTTGCCACATGGCACTATTCTGTGCCACGCAAAGCAGCTGCGCTTCAAATTCAGCGGATAAAGGTGAATATGGGAGCCCATGCGGACAGGTGGGCCCAACAGCAGAGCCATTAGAGCAACAGAGAGAACCGGTTCAGTCTCCACTGCTCATTACTTCTAGCGGCTCTCCAGAACAGGGCAGAACTGGTCAAATACCACCACTGGATGCAATAAGCACATTAGATTTAAATCTATCATAAGGAAAATGAGGTATCAATGTTCTTTATCACTCTTGAATTAGCCACTAATGTAATAGTACAGGGGTGTCAAACTCAAGGCCTGCAGGCCAAATCAGGCCTGCAATGTGTTTGGGTCTGGGCCGTGTGGCCATCCTGGAAACTGTGAGGGGCTGGCCCTTGTCGCTGCATGCATGCACACAGGAGGCAGCATGCACATACATGCACAGGCCCTGTTCAAGGAGGCATTGGACCAGCATTGCCTGGCCCACCCCATCTCGCGTGATTGCTGCAGGCTGGAGTTACAGCTGGAAGCCATTCCCCCTGCACATAAAGGGCAGCGAGTGTGTGATGGCCGATGGTTTCTGGCTGTAGAAGCCCTAACCCCTGCCTCCCCTCCCCTCATCCCATGGGATGAGACTTCTGCCCACCGTGCCACCCACTGAAGATCCCTGGATTTCCGCTCAACCTCACCCAGCCCCCACAGGCATCACCCATGCGAGTAACATCAAGCTGGCCAAGCCCCTGAACCATGCCCAGTCAGCCACAACCATTCCAGCCATGCCCCTCCTCCCCCTGGGCCTGGGAGAACAACCACAATGCTGAACTGGCCCTCAATGAAATAGATCCCCTGCAATAGGAGATTGATGGCAAATATTTGCTGTTTACATAGCTCATGTGCCCCAGTCAACTTTTTAAAAAAAAGTTGTAAAAACTGACTGTGATCTTCAAAGTTAGTTAGCATACAATGCTAAATTATAATGTTATAATAGTTTTGGCTTAGCATCTTATATAAATCGATATTCAACACAATTAACTGACCAGCAAATACGTAGATGATTCAATAATATTAGCAAAAGCATAATTGCTTGATCTATACAATTTTTAGGATTTGAGACATTCATACTGAGTTCACAGACTATGGAAAGCATTCGGATTAGTTTTGTACATATTCAGGTTATAGTTTCTCAGAGTCTTGCAGCACATCCCTAATCTAATTTAGTGCTAATATATCATATTAATTTGTTTGCGTCATAGAGCAGTCAAAAGCTTTCTTTGATGATTCATTGCTTGCTACCAGGTGAAATCATTGCTTGGTTTCATGAATTCAACTGTGCTGCAATGTTAAATTGAGGTGTACATCTTTTGCAGAACTATTATGATCTTTGGTTGCTTTTGCTAACTTTCTAATGGTCTGCTTATCACTAAATATTCCTTTTACCTTTTTAAGAGTATCACACAGTTTGTTTCTGTCCTTAACAGCATATTAAGCCTTCAAAGATTAAGATTTTGACATCTGAAAATTTGTTTTCAATGAAAACAATACATCACATCATCATCATGGCTACTGTAATATCCTTGATATGTGACTACCCATGGAAAGTATTCAGAAATTGCAATTTATGCAAAATGTGGCAGCTAGACTGCCTACCATGCATGTATAAAAATTATATGATGTCTGTACTAAAAATATGGACTGGCTACTGATTGCTTGTTGGATACAGTTTAATAATTATTGTGTTGACCTTTAAAATCCTAAATTGCTTTGGGTCTGATTAACAGTCTCCCTCATTATGAAACTGCCCTGTTATTCATTCAGATCAGTAGGAAGGACTCATCTGAAGATCTCTACTACAGCTGCTAGAAAGTGGGGAAGAGCATACAAGAAAGATTTGTTGTGAATAGATACAGAGATAGCTTTGAAGAAGATATTCAACAACTATTACATTAGCAGAAGCTTATCCCTGGAAGAGAGGAAAGAATATTCAAGAATACTCAAGGCTACTCTTTTTGATTTCTTTTTATCAAAGAGCAGCAGAGAGAATCTCTGTCAGGCTTTCAAGATTTTGTTATTTAAAATAATGTTCCAATAGTTTTGTGATGCTTGACCTTAAATGGCTGATACCTATATGTCTCTCAAGCTCTGGAATACATTCACTGAGGTTTGACTTCTGCTCCCCCAGTGTTATGGAAGATGGTAAAAACACATGCAAAGATAATAATGTGTCATTTAAATGTATTTTTGTAATATCCTAAGTTATATTTTTGGAGTAAATATGTATAAATATTGACTCTGAAATAAAATTTATTATTTAAGGATGCCTGTATTAATTGCATGCCTTTTGTTGCAGTTTATAGCCAATTTGTTATGATGTAAGCTTCCTTGAACATTGGAATAAATATTTAAAAAATGAAGTAAAGGTGGGTATAGATTCCACAAACAATTCAAGCCATCCAGCAGTCAATTTTAATGAAGTGTATAAGATTGAAGATGCTAAGTCTTAAAGTGTGCTAAATGCTGAAATTAGGAGCAAGTTAATTACCCTCATGAAAATCCTATTCTTGGTTGTTGGTATGGTTGGATCTTGTTTGAACTGTTATTTTGATTGGATTTTATCTGACAGAGGTAATGCCTAAATAGCTAAAATAGCTATTATCATACTAAAATAGGTAGATCAGAACTATGTTTTAAGTCCTGTGGAGTTCAGTAGAACAAAACCTTTCAATTTAATTTAATTCAATTCAACTAGCCTAAGTGAAGCTAGAGGTGATTTTCTCTCAGAAATTATTATTTATGCTTTTCAGATTATTTCTTTCATCCCACAGCCATGTTTTATGCTTTCATCCTGACCTCCATATACCCCAAACTATATAATTAGCCCTTGAACTACATTCCTGAACTCTCCCTAATGGAAACATGGAACAATCTCAAAACTTTTGTATTTCCATGACTTAATATATACTAGAATACTCACATGCATTCACTAGAACAGCAAATAATCTTCTTGCCAACCTACCCAATTGTTATAAATTGTGTAAAAACAGTTACACACGAGGAAGAAGTACACCTACATTGCCATTATGTATCCTGCTAATACAGTATTTTCCTAAGATTAAAATAAACATGACATTTTAAAATTAGTGGGAGATTAAATTAAGTTAAAATAGTGGTTTTAGAAATGTTCAAAGGGTAGTAGCAGCTTGTAGGGCATTTTAGGATGAGTTTCCACTCAGACATTGAAAAAGGAAAGATTGGAAAAACATCTGATAGAATTTGGGTAATTTTGCCTAAATTAGAGTTTCTCCATACAGACTTACATTGGGTGTAGATATATCTTAAATTTTTCACTGATGCTGGCAAATGCATTTTTTTCTTAAGATTTTTTTTGCTGGCTAGAACAAATAATACATCAGTGTATACATCACTCCATGTCATGTCCAGAAGCTGTCTGAGCTAGCAGTTTATTTCATCAATACCAAGAGTGGAACACAATCTTGCGCTGCTGCAGAGAAAGCCTCATTTTTATGTAAGAATAATCTCTAGGACTTGACAGTAAATATGCTGATAATACTGTGCCTATATAGAGATGGAAAGTATTCTGATCAAGCATGATATAATAATCTCAGTGGATTGCAGAGGTCAATCCAGGCTCCAGGTATCTCATACTCTGCAACATCATGACTTGATCCTTGATGCCATCAACTATCCTTGGGCCATGCTTGGCAGGTGTGGCAAGAAGGTATATTATATAGTACTCCCCTCTTGTGTGTTTGTAATGATGTATAGAATGATGTGTCTCAGCCCTGGGAGAGGAGATAGCATGGCATTTTTAAAAAGGAACGTTTCATAGTTTTCCTGAGAATAAAAGGAAGGGAGAAATACTTTCTGTCTTGCAAGATTCTGTTAATGTAACCTTACAATAAAAGTAGAACTAATATTCCTGTTTCTGCCTCTTGTCTGGAATACCTTGCAGGACTAATAATGTCTGCCATTGAATTCCCTTTCTAGTTGTGATCTGATTCAGTAGATTAACATCGAACATTGATTCCCCATGCCCCAGAAGTTACATGCACAGAAGCCATCAGTCCAGTGTGCATGTATGTGTATAGGTCTGTATGGGAGTGTTTTCTGCTCAAAATGCTCATGTCTAATAACATGGATCTTGTCATCCAGGAATGATGAGGATCATAATACAAAAACTGGATGAAATTGGATTAGGAAAGTTGAGGTTTTACATGGTACATGAAGAATCCATCCAGCTACACTCTCCCTCCCCAACCCACTCTTCAGACTCAAAGAGTTTATTGCTAGAAATAAGTCTCCATTTATAATTTGCAAGACCCAAAAGAACTTTATTAGACAGTAGAAACTCCACAAAGAAAAGCAAAAGCAAGAACAACGAAGTCAAACTGTTACATGATCTCCAGCCACCAAGTATAAGTGCTTAAGAAACTACTGCTGTGTGAAATTCTACATTTCCATCTCTTGATGATGGCATCTACCCATTGAAATCTGTGTATTTAGTATTTGTGTATAACATAGAGGGTGTTCTTCAAGGCTTCTTATCAGTAAATGCTTTGTCTATAACAAAACAAGGAAGAAATGAAGATTTATTAGGCTCAAATTATATATTGATAAACCAATTGTACTTGAAGGAAAGAACATAATTTATTGGAGCATCTCTCAAAAGCTGCTTCTGTTCTGAAGCATGTCCTGGAATGATCAGTGAACATGCAATACCTCATTATACTTCCTAGCCTTTCTATGAATAAGTCTGCCTCTATGCCACTGTAACAAGGGGACTGCAAGATATCTGTTACTTATCTCTGGTTCTGGCCAACCTGCATGGACTCTTAATGGAATTTGTACTTTTACTGCATTTTATTTTATTGCATTATGATTATTGTTTTTCAATGCAAAAGACAGAAATGGCATTGGAACTGGCCCCAGATGGAAATATGATTTAATTTATCTTGTCTAATTTCTAGAATAGCGATTTGGCAATTTTCAGATGTATGCCCACTGCTAAAATTCCCCAGACACTGGATTGAAAATTATGTGAATTAAAGTCTACAAATTTTAAAGTTGGCAAGTTCTTGATTATCTCTTTTGGCAGTCATTCTCTTGAAAGTTAAAATGATAGTAGCAGTGTAGGGAATGATAAATATCTTGATACCTGTCCCAAAGGTGCTTTTTCATGTTTTGCTTCTCATCCAAGAAAATTCTTCAGCTTTGAAGTTGAAGCTGAAGAAGCTTCTTGAACGAGAAGTGAAGGTCTCCCCTAAAACTGTCACATTTTAGTGAATATTCAGACTCAAAGAATTACAGTATCAGGATTTTAAAGGGCAGGGGATGACAAGTAGTATATTTTGTAACATAATCCATCACTTCTGATATTCTTCTATCATTTCTTCTAAGGAGAATTCACAAGAGACAGTCTTCTTCCTAGGCATAGGCCAGATCTAAATTTGATTACCTTTAGCAAAATAGCTGTTCATCACGTACCATCCAGCCCATATTTAGCAAACTTAAAATTGCTTTCCACAATTTTCCCTCCCTCAAAATAACAAAACCTTACCATACGTTTGTGAGGCGTTACCTGAAAAGCTGTAGGGAGAAAAGAAAGAAAGAAAGAGTAGTTACACTCAAAATCACAACAGACAAATAAACAAACAACAGTAACCCAGTTGACTGGTGCTGTTTTTCAAACCAAGTTGAGGCATTGTGCTTTTTAAAAATGAACAAATAAACAAACAAACTATGTTCAGAATTAGTCTAACTGACAGGAAGCAAATACAAAGAAAGGGCTGTTGGGAGAATCATAAGTATTCTTCCCATACAAAAAATAATCTTGTCTCGCTCTCATCTCCACTGATTGCAACCTGTAGGTTAAGCAACTTGAATAGTGTTAAACCACCGTTCCATGCATCCTTCCAAAGCAATGGTTCTCATGACTTGCTGGAGAATTCTAAGAGTTGAAGTCCACACAGCTTAAAGTTGCCCACATTGAGAAAAATGTTATGACCCTATCCTGTTTCACCCTATATTAAGGATAGTGCTTGGTCATTGTTTTCCCATGCTTGTTGATGTTTGGTGGAAAGAGAAACAAAGTTTGGGTATCTAAAGGTTCCTTTTCTTAATTTGGTTGCAAATAATAAGGACAGCACTATTTTCCAGCCTCATTATTTTGGCAAAATAGGGATCAGCAATTTGTTTTGCTCAAGGTACAAGGCAGCTAACTATATAGCTGCAAAACAGCATATATAGTATATAGACAGATAGACACGATATAACAATTCTAAAATGAAGATGCTTAAAGCTCAATAGTAAATATATTTAGAAGCAACTTACTTGAAGTCCTGGCCATCCAAGAGCTGGCGGTAAGTCGCAATCTCTTGCTCCAGACGGGTTTTGATGTCCATCAACATCTTATAGTCGTTATTCTGCCTCTCCATGTCACTGCGGACCTCAACCAGCTGGGCTTCTATGTTACTGATCAGAGTTTGGATTTGGCAGAGCTGGGCGCCATAGCGACCTTCTGTATCCGCTAAGGTGCCTTCCAGAGCAGTTTTCTGAGAAGGAGAAGGCATTGGTGAGAAGAAAAATTCAGTGCCTTCTGAAATATATCCATGGCATCAGTTTGAAAGAAATGTCAAACATTGTTTTAAAAACTGGGGCAAGATAAGCTTAAGGAAGAGAAATTAGGTGTAAAGGGGTAAGAGTTACATTTGGTTAACTTGCACTGAGTAGCAGAAGTCCATAAGAGAACTGCTGAAATACGATACAGCATTTTTCAGAAGCATTGGTTAGATTGATTTGAAAATTTAATTATTTACTAGCTCTTTTATATCTCACAATTACTAGATATTTTTTCACTTGTTTGCTATGTGGTTGATAGTTTTTTCACTTGTTTGCTATGTGGCTTCTGGACCTTGATATAGTTAAGCTGCCTAATATTGATGGGGAAAAAAACAGAAAAAGCTGCTTTATAAAGTGTACTTTTTCTTGTTCAATACTGCCATCACCTTCTGGGTTCACACATATTTTCAGCCTTAATGCAGTTATTTTTTAATTTATGGTGTAGCATATTGATTCCAGCTCCTGTCATTTGAATATCATATTTACAGTTTAGTTTGTTATAGATCCAAGTTGCTCTGTTTTATTTAGTAGGCTGTACTTAAATAATAGCTTAATATGTAGAGTGATGAATATTTGACCAGCAATGCCTCTTCAGATCTATTGGAAATGACAGAAGTTAAACCCCTGAATGTTTAGTTGATATCTCTTTGCACTTCATATGTGTATGTGGGTGCATATACATATACATGCTTTGCTCAGGGGATAACATTAATTTACTTATTTCAGGATTCAGATATTGGACTTAATTTACTCCTACTGATCCACGTACCATGCTAAGCTGGGATTGCAGCTCTATCTCCAAACTTTGGAGAGTCCGTCTCAGGTCAGTAATTTCAGTCTTGCTGGTCTGAAGCTGTTCAGTATTGATGGCAACCTCTTTGTTCAGTTCTTCAGTCTATATATTTTTAAAGGAAGGTGACATTTATAAGTCAGATCATGATTTTGAAAACCATACCAGCCCAATTATCTCTTCCCAAATTGTTTTCTTGAAGGATATCCCCCTGTTCCATTTCATTCTCTCCCCCAGTTTTCTAGCTCACCTTGCTCGAAAACCATGCCTCCGCATCCCTTCGGTTCTTCTCAGCCAGTAGCTCATACTGGTCTCTCATGTCTGCCAGGATCTTGGTGAGATCAATGCCTGGGACAGAATCAACTTCCACACTCACTTGGCCACCCAGTTGGCCAGAAAGAGCACTCATTTCCTTTAAAATGAGAAAAAAAGACCAAATATTAATTGAGGATCTATTTGCATAACTCCCTCCTCCCTGTTTATAGATATAGGTGAGTATCCATAAGTCATCTAGGATTAATTCAGACATGATTTGAGGGTGGTTTTTTTTCAGTTAAAAACATTCAAAGAATTCAAGGCCTCTAAAAAATTATTATTTTTTCTCACCAAAACTTTCCTGCCTTCAAAAGCTGCTTTACTCTCTCTCCATCCTTTGTTTCTTGTTTTTGTTTTTAATTTTTTTATGACCAAAAAGGAGGAAAGACGGGAAAGCTTAACATCTCCTCTCACCATTTATAACAACATTGCCATTTATTAGCAGCAATCCTAACAGTTAAATTCACAAAATACTCTAGTATTAGACTAAAATCCCATCATCTCTGATTATCTCTTATCAACAGCTTTGAAAGCTGGGCCTGACTGGAATTGGAGTACTACAACATTTATAGGACTACAGTTCCCTCACATCACATTTCCAAAGTGGTTAGAAAGCATAAATCTGATTGCTCTGACAGAACTAATTTTGAAGAAATATATGAAACCCAGAACTGTATAGCTTTATGACTGATCCATTTAATTCTACATGTGGTGCAGCCAAATTCATCCTGCAGAAGTGGTGATTTCTCTATCTCTTTAATAGCTGAGAAATTAAAGTTATCATCTCCTATAAGCCATTCTGTGTATATAAACCTGCAGAATGATTTGATTTTGAACAGTTGATTGAATCCTGTAGGGGCCACTCAATTGTTATACGAGATGCTAGAAAGGTAGAGTTGTAGTGGTGCAGTGGTTAGAATGCAGAACTGCAGGCTAATTCTGCGAACTGCTGACTACCAGCCAGTAGTTCTACAGTTCGAGTTTCACCGACCCAGCCTTCCAGCCTTCCAAGGTCGGTAAAACAAGGCCCAAATTGTTGGGAGCAATATGCTGGCTCTGTAAACTGCTTAGAGAGGGATGTAAAGCACTATAAAGTGGTATATATGTCTAAGTGCTATTGCTATTGATAGAAAAAGCTTTCTGCTGACCTTAGATTTAGTGTAGCATGTTGTCTTATTGACAATGCTGAAGATTCAGCCCCTGTTGCAGTTAGCTTTTGGAAATAGAATGGAGACTGCGTAATGCTTTTCAGTGAGATCTTAAGAAGACTGAGTGATGTTCATAGAATTTAAGTGAGTTACATATAACTTCAATCTCACTCTTTGGTTTTATTTTAATCATAACAAAATGAGTTTCCAGCCCAGGAAGCACTTGGCTCTTTCTTTACCTCCTCATGGTTCTTCTTGAGATAAGCCAGTTCTTCTTTCAAGCTTTCAATTTGCATCTCCAGGTCAGTTCTAGATAAGGTCAGCTCATCCAACACTCGGCGTAAGCCATTAATATCAGCTTCCACACTCATGCGCAGGGCTTGCTCAGTCTCAAACCTGGTTAAAGAAAGAAATACCTCACTTTTCTTAGGCATAGTTTAAATGTCATGGATTCTGTTTAATTTTGTTGATCCATTTCCTAATATAGAGATGATTATAATGTTAGACTGTTTGATGAGGGGATAAAGATATAGGGATGCAGAAGACTGATATTATGCTACTTATGTGACCACTTCTTTTGTAACAGGTAACAGTGCTAAGTAAAAGATCACTCATTAATAGATCCTTTTTAGATTCCTTTTCCCATTCCCTTCAATAGTTTGCAAATGGCAAATTATCCCCCATTTCTCCCCCATTTTCTGGCCCATGAAAAATGTACTTACTTGGTTTTAAAGTCATCAGCAGCCAGCCTGGCATTATCAATCTGCAGGATCATTTTATTATTTTCAATTGTTTCAACCAGGATCTGCAAGACAAGAAGTAACACACAATTGGAGAGAGTTGTTTTTGGTCATAGCATTTTTTAAAAAAAACTACTTTGGATTCCACGTGCAGACAGTTGATGGGGTGTGTACGTGTGTCTTTAGACTTCTTGGAGTAAACTGACTTCTTCTCTAAATTGACCCACTAGACATCCATGTTGTATTTTCAATTTACCTGTTTACCTGATACAACTGTGGTTTCCCCCCCCCCCAAAAAAAAATCCAGTTGACTGTTGACTAAATCAATGGGTCTAAAATTCTTTAAATTCCTTTATTTCTAAGGATATATTTTATGACTAAATATGGCTCTTTTGTCATAGTATACAGTTTACATTATCCATTAGACTAATAAAACCAATTCGATTAATCAGACAGGTACTATTTACTAGTTTGATTGGACTATGCAGATAACAAATTGATTCACCTGAAAAATTCAATGTACACTCTTATCAGAACATTGTAGGCTGTTGACAATAAGATATTTTATCACTTACTCCTTACAATGAGACTTTTACAAAAGCTACAATGTAAATTCAACATAACAAACATTAAAATAAATAAAAGTGATAAAATGAGGTTCTACTTTGAAATTACTGGCTACATCTTAAAGCCCATCTCGTGGTTAACTTCAAGTAGCCGCAGGTATAGGATTAAGATAATTATCCAGCCAAAAATGTAGTGCTCTATCAGAGGTTTTTTATTTTATTAAAATACATTTCTTGGGTTTCTAATCCCACCTTTTCCCCAAGTGTCCAGGGTAGTTTACTCTGGGATCTACATTTTATTGTTTTTCCTGAGAGAGAGTGACTGACCCAAGGTCACTGTGGTGAATATAGTCTGGATTCCAGAAGGAGGAATTGCATTTCAGATGACAAAGAGGCAGAGAGAAGCTTGATTAGGAGAAAGACAATGAAGAAGCCTAGCAGAGTATATCTATAGTAATGGAAATTTCACTTTAGTTTGGCAAGATTTATGTCTATAAATGGGAAACAATAAAGAACACAATAAAGAAATAATTCCACCTGGTTTTTTTTTTTTGATGGTCACCTGGGAACTGAGTCTCTGATCCTAGTCCAGCACCTTAACTATTGTACCACAGTCAATGTCAAACATTCACATTGAGATTCTGTCCAACTTTACCTATCACAAAGAAGTTTTGGCATAGCTCAGCACTTTACATGCTAACTTTCTTTGTGGCTCAACTTCAACCTGTCAGATTCTTTTAAACTAACAGCCAGCTTGGAAGTTGGTAATCATTAACTGCTAAGCTGTATTGATTTCTGTATAATAAATGTTTGTTTTTCTTTTACCTTCTGTACTTTTAGGGTGTGTATGTGTTTCCTGTCCAAACAAACTGGAGGTTTAGTGATTCTGCTGTCACAAAATAAACTTTGATTGTATGTGTGTAGAAAAAAGGTTTATATAATGACTGGTTTCTTATCTTCTTTTTCCTCTTTAATAAATAGCAGAAACAAAGCCAAAGCTTTGTGGGCGAACTGAAGTTTTGAATGGGAGGTCTCTACTCAGATTTCAATTCAAGATATATAGGAGGCCTTTAGGAATATTAATGCAATGAAGGAAGGGAGGAACTTCAGAGATCTTTATCTCAAAGAATTCCAAAGGAAAATGTTTGCACTCCGTCTTCAAGGATGGAGGCTTTATGTATCATTGCAGAACAGGAAAAAAAAATACATAGCAAACAAACACATTGAACAAATAGAGATACCTATTTAATAATAAGTTGTAAAATTTAAATAGACATAGGAGATATCCTGCTGAAATGGAGAAGATTGAGATCAGATGCACTTCCTGCCAGGGCATCCTAAAGGAGAGTCTACAAAAATTAAGAGGTCCTAATGTGATCAAAAGAATCATCTTGACTTTTTTGACTCCTCTCCTCTGGATACCTCAGCTTCCCATTGTCTAAATGATCACAGTTATTAGCCTTTTTTTCCTCTTCACATATTTTCTTTTAATGTTTAAAGCGGACTTGTATTAGCAATATCCTTCAAATAAAGCATTGTCCTTGGGCAATCTTTCAAACAGGATACTTTCAAGAAGAGAGTATTTCTTAGCCCCTTCAAATACATCCTCTGTATATCCTCTGTAAAACAAAACTTACAGCATTTCTGGAAATAGCAAACTACAGCAAGTTAGCACCATATATGGTGGTGGTGGGGGGAAGTAAGGATGGGGGGTTTTTTTGTCAAACTATTCGACAAGTTGCTATTGAGAGATTTCATATGTCAAAATTTGATGTAGCTTTGAACTGATAGAAGTGCACTATTTTGATGTAAAATGGAGCAGCATATGGGATGGCCCAAGGCTGGAAACAAATATAAGAAATAAACTAGGATGCATGGGCTCCAAATTGAAACACTTTTAAAATAGAGCTGGTGAAATTAATGGGAATGATGTAAATTATGACTAATTTATATCCCATTGATTTGGTGCAACCCAATGTACACAAGATAACATGCAAATATCTACAGATTTGCTCAGAAATGCATTTAAGTCTATCTTCTCAACATACAGGCATTACAGTATTTAAAGAGCATGTAATGATTTTATCTGCAGCAATAGTGTGGGAAATAAATTAAAATGCTAATATGAACAGCTTAGAAAATACAATAGTCCAGGATTTAGCTAATATGAGAGTGGTGCTAATAGCCAAAAAAAAGTGCTAACTCAAGAATCAAGAGATACCTTAATTCTCAACAGCACATGGAACTAAATTTGGAAATGTAAGATCTTGTAGCTACATGAGAAAAGTCTGCTCAAGCATAGTGTTTAATTAATTACTAAGCATTATTCAATAAATCAATTAATCAAATATTGCTCTGAATAACATCTGACTGACACAGATGCAGCTAAACTATTGTTTATGGTACAAAAATCTGGTTTTGATTCCTATCTAATATACATAATTTCATTACCTTTATTGAGTTTCTTTAAGGTGAATTATGCCAGAATTATGCTGTGCACATACTCTTTGTGCTCTTTGTTTACAGTTTGGCAAAATGGATAGTAATTCTTAAATACATGCAATCCTTGATCTCAAACTGTTCATTTAACCATGATTCACAATTACAATAGCTTTGGAAAAAGTGCTTTACATATTGTATTTGCACTTATGAGCACTGTACCACCTCCATGGTCACATGACCACAATTCTGTGCTTGGCAACCAGCTCACATTTACAACTGATTGCAGCATCTTGTGCTCATGTGATTGCGATTAGCAACCTTTAAAAAAAGTGTTCACTGGGGAAGCTAGATTTGCTTTACAATCACTCTAAAAATGGACATAAAATCAGGTATGGTCAGGTGTGAATTTGACTTGCACTGATTTGTGACTAAAATTCAAGTCCCATTTGTGCTTATGTATCAAGGACTAACTGTATAATAAAAATGAAGTAGAAGAACTTGAATGCTTCCTGGCTAATATTGATGCTTTGCAATGAACAGTGAGCAAGAAGGTTTTGCCAACCGTGTTCAATGATTCAAGCTAAGTTACTGTTACGCTCTCTTCGCAAATGAGAACAGTGAATGTTAGGGATTTATTTTTTAAAAATTGATCAGCTCTTTTCAGAGAGATACTGGAATTTGGGTTTGTCATATTAATGCCACCATGCCATACAAGACTTTCCCCTTTGTAATAATACTTCCTTGTTTTTAAGGAAATGCAGAGCACCTATATATTCAAATGATTGCCTGTCTCACCAAGGCATGCTCAAAGCCAGAAAAAGAATTGCAGGGGTTGAACTTAAGAGAAATCTGTGGCTGTTAGTGCCTGATCTCTAATTCCTATCTAGCATGGTCAATGGCAGGGTATGTTGGAAGTTGCAATTTAGTTTTTTCTTCAAGGTCAGAGCCCTTTGCCATTTTAGGAACTTCTGAAGTATAAGGAAGTTTTCAAACATAGAACAGACTAAGTTTACACTTTGTGCTAAGTTATGGTTCCTTATGCATTACCTACAATTGGCTGAGTTGAACAGTATATAAAGCTATAATCCACGATGTACAAAGCAAAAATTGCACACTATATTAATCTAGTGATTAATTAAACCTTTTCATAGTATAGCATGATCTGTGATAACTAGTCACTGGCTGTCCAAAAACTGTTATTGCTAGATCCCACATATTACAAATGAAAAACCTTTCATAAGAGGCTGGAACATGAATAAACCCCTCAGGATTCAATTTCTCCAAGTCCAAAGTCCTACCTTGTCCCGAAGTTCTTCAATGGTCTTGTAATATGGGCTGTAATCGCGGGTCGCAGTCGGTCCCTGCTTCTGGTACCACTCTCGAATTTTAACCTCTAGTTCAGTATTTGCCTCCTCCAAGGCACGCACTTTGTCCAGATAGTTTGCCAGGCGGTCATTTAAATTCTGCATAGTTATCTTTTCATTTCCCGAAAGGAGGCCATCACTGACATTTAGGTTCCCGCCAAAGGCACCTCCAGTCCCACCAGCTCCACCAAAGCAGCCACTCCCATAGCTAAAACTTCCACCACCAAGGCCACTACCTAGGCCTCCTCCCAACCCTGCAGAGCCTAATCTAGCAGAAGAGACAGAGATGCCATAGCCACCAGATCCCCCATGGATGCTTGGAGTTCTGAAGGAGGAAGAACCACCCAAACCTCCACCACTAATGGTAGAAGAAGATTGCCTAAAGCTGTAGGTGTTCATGATGAAGGGATATCTCAGACCAGCTCTTGGCAACCAAGTTTGTGAGCAGTTCTCCCCTCTCCCTGTCTCTTTTATTCTGTACTGTTGTGGGAGTTGTCCATCCAACCTGCTGATATGTGAGCCCTCTGGAATGGACCAAACCCTTTGCCAGCATGCAGATTCTTCTCATTGGTCAGTCAGAAAGAAATGGGCTGTTTCTTTTCCAAATATTTGCTTAGAAATATTTTCCTCCCCTCCCCTTGTCTGACAATGTGCCCCCCTCCTCCTTTTTAGAACAAAAGTTGTGATTCACAGTAGGTGGCTTTATGCTGAAAAGCAAGACATTGATAAATGCTAGGTGATCATTTCCTTAAGCCTCTGCTAAAACTTTGAGCACACATACCTGCCCTGACACACACTGGTTCTTTTGTGAAAAGGGTGGGGGGGGGAGGGAAACAACTTGGAGCAGAAAGCCAGCAGTTGAAGCAGATAATAGATTACAGTGAAACTGAGACAGGAATTCATGCCCCCCACTCCACCTCTGCAAGGTTCATCTTCTTATTAAAGGGCTGTGAACATAGACCCAGAATATCTCAGTTGCTCCCAGTTGCTGTAAAAACAGGTTTCTTTGAAAGAAGAAGGTAAAAAACTGACTCTAGCCACATGTATAAATTCTCAAATACATAAATGTGTAAATCCTTAATATCTCAAAAAAGTATTTTACCTGGGGAGGGAAACTCTAGCATACAAGTGCTTCTTTTCTATATGGAAAACAGGAAATTCTTGAGGCTGTTTCCTCACGTGAATGAGCCCTTTCATGCATAGCTAACCTGTGTGATTTCTCCCATGTTGCACCTTAATGCTGCAATTTAAGCCAAAGATTGTGTATCATGTTTGTTCGTATAATATGTTAATTTAGAGAAAAAGTGGGAATCTAGGGTGAAGCTGTTCAGTAGCCAACATTCAAGTTGGTTTGGCATTTTAAAAATGAGACTCTCCATACACCAAAAGCCCCAAGATTGGCAAGGTGCATTGATCACTGCAAACCTTCTGGCCTGCTGTGATTTTAAAGATATGTCACCCAATGATTTGAATGCAGTATCTCCCAACACTTTTAAGTGTAAAAAAATATACCTGATCTCTAATTGCCATGAATGGCTCTGAATGATGGGACTTGTAGTCCAACACTTTTGGATGAACCTGCTCAGGGAGTTCTTGTTTAGTCTTGTTTACCAATTGTTGCAGTTATGATGGTGATAAAAAAAAAACAACTTTGGGACAATCCTTGCATTTACAACCTTTGCTTGTCTATAACACAAAGGAAAGCTGAAGTACTGCCAGAGTACTTTAAAATATCTGGTGGAGAGAATTTGAATTTATTTTCTAGTAATATATATATACTAGAATATATACATATACATATGCAAGTACAATTCTAGAAACTATATATGTCCTGCTCCCAAAGCCTGTGATAACTCAGCAACCATTCCTTCTTAGGTCAACCTGCAATTTCCAGTAAGCTACTCAAAAGTGATTGACTTGAAGTTGTTTACAGTGAGGCTAATAACAATAATTCAGAATACTAATCAACTGATCTAACCTACTGTTTCTCAATCTTGGCAACTTTAAGCTGGGTGGATTTCTACTTCCAGAAATACCCAGTCACCATGATAATTTAAAGTTGCCAAGTTGAGAAACACTGATCTAACCTAACCAAGGCCAGCTTTAGCAGCAGATACTCTGCGTGTAAAAAGGAAAGTTCTCAGAACATTTTTGATAGTCCAGATGTTAGGAATATACTTTTTCTCAGGAGATATGAGTTCCAAAGGGTAGGGAGGCCATTAAGACAACTTGTTGTCAAGCTAAGCTCCCTCCCGCCCATTGCATGAGACCTGCATGTGAAGGGCACTGAAAGAGCACATTGATTTTAAATAAATAGGAATATAAAATATGAAAAAACTGTTCATTAATAAATAAAGAATAATTCCCAGAATTGCAGTAATGAAAGGGCTAAATGTATATCATGACATTTGGGGACTGCAGGCAGTCCTTGACGTACGACCACAGTTTGAACCCTAATTTCCATTGCTAAGCAAGAAATTGTTAAGTAATGCCTGATTTTATGACACAGTTATTAAGTGAATAACTGCAGTTATTAAGTTAATCATGCAGTTGTTAAGCAAATCCAGCTTTCTCCATCAACTTTTCTTGTTGAGAGCCAAGTGAGAAGCTTACATTTGGCAATCACATGGCCACGAGAAATGCAATTTTCGCAAATACATGCCAGTTGCCAAGATCCCAAATTTTGATCTTGTAACCACAGGGAATTCTATAATGGTCAGAAGTTTGAGAGTTGTAAGTTGTAAGTTACTTTCTTCAGTGCTGCTGTAACTTCAAACAGTAGCTAAACAAATGGTTATAACTTGAGGAGTACTTATACTGTCAAAAGTCCTGTCTGGGGGTGGGGCAGTATAAGCTTCAAGAACTTTTTTTTTTTATTGCTGGTTAGAGGCAGAACTAAAAAAGCTTCTGCACAAGCCTTTTGGAGTCCTGTTTGAGATGTTTCTTATGGAGGCTACTGAAGGCTTATGGCATATTTGCAATGTATAGTTTATTTAAATGTGCAATACGGGACACACACAACTGGATGTTTGCAGTTTCAATGTAAGATACATTTCCCAAAGATACATTTCCCTTTATTTTCTCTCTTCTCTTCTCTTCTCTTCTCTTCTCTTCTCTTCTCTTCTCTTCTCTTCTCTTCTCTTCTCTTCTCTTCTCTTCTCTTCTCTTCTC